AGATAGATAGACGACTATCTTGAAGAAGTTTAGGTAAGTAGATATAAGATATTATAGGAAGATAGATAGACGACTATCTTGAAGAAGTTTAGGTAAGTATAGATAGATATTATAGGAAGATAGATAAACGACTATCTTGAAGAAGTTTAGGTAAGTAGATAGATAGACGACTATCTTGAAGAAGTTTAGGTAAGTATATAGATATATAGGAAGATAGATAAACGACTATCTTGAAGAAGTTTAGGTAAGTAGATAGATAGACGACTATCTTGAAGAAGTTTAGGTAAGTAGATAGATATATAGGAAGATAGATAGACGACTATCTTGAAGAAGTTTAGGTAGGTAGATAGATATTATAGGAAGATAGATAGACGACTATCTTGAAGAAGTTTAGGTAGGTAGATAGATATTATAGGAAGATAGATAGACGACTATCTTGAAGAAGTTTAAGTAAGTAGATAGATAGACGACTATCTTGAAGAAATTTAAGTAGGTAGATAGATATTATAGGAAGATAGATAGACGAGTATCTTGAAGAAGTTTAGGTAGGTAGATAGATATATAGGAAGATAGATAGACGACTATCTTGAAGAAGTTTCCCCATTTCAGATGTAATCAATAGCAAAGTTTGCAGCCAACTGTGGGCCCGGGAATTTCCACTATAAAGGTTTGATAAATTCTTGTTTCTAAATCGACGTATAAAATTAAAAAGAAATAAAGGTCCAAGGCGACCTTTACTTTACTGTGTTCAACATTGTTAATATGCAATTAATATTATAAACAACATTTTGTATTAGGTTAGATCTTTTGACGCCTAAAAGAGATTTTTAAATTTCTGATTTCTCGAAAATGTGGAAAATCCGTTTTAAATCACAAATATGATTCAAATTTATTTAAGAATAAGGTTCAGCATCTAGAAGGATCATCTTTTCACAAGTTCCAATAAATTCATGAGTTTCTTGAGTTCCTATAGTATTATGAGTTTTAATTTTGTCATGAGTTCCATTAGTTTCATGAGTTCCAATAGTATCATGAGTTTTAATTTTGTCATGAGTTCCAATAGTTTCATGAGTTCCAATAGTTTCCTGAGTTCCAATAGTTTCCTGAGTTCCAATAGTTTCCTGAGTTCCAATAGTTTCCTGAGTTACAATAGTTTCCTGAGTTCCAATAGTTCCATGAGTTCCAATGGTTTCATGAGTTCCAATAGTTTCATGAGTTCCAATAGTTTCATGAGTTCCAATAGTTTCATGAGTTCCAATAGTTTCCTGAGTTACAATAGTTTCCTGAGTTCCAATAGTTTCATGAGTTCCAATGGTTTCATGAGTTCCAATAGTTTCATGAGTTCCAATAGTTTCATGAGTTCCAATAGTTTCATGAGTTCCAATAGTTTCCTGTGCTATAATAGTTTCATGATTTCCAATAGTTTCAAAAGTTCCAATAGTTTCCTGTGTTCCAATAGTCGTCCTGTGTTCCAATAGTGTCCTGAGTTCCAATAGTTTCATGAGTTTTAATAGTTTCATGAGTTCCAATAGTTTCATGAGTTCCAATAGTGTCCTGAGTTCCAATAATTTCATGAGTTCCAATTGTTTCATGAGTTCCAATAGTTTAAAGAGTTTTAATAGTTTCATTAGTTCCAATAGTTTCCCGGGTTCCAATAGTTTCATGAGTTCCAATAGTTACTTGAACTCCAATAGATACACGAGTTTTAATAGTTTCCTGAGTTCCAATAGTTTCATGAGTTCCAATAGTTTCATGAGTTCCAATAGTTTCCTGAGTTCCAATATTATGATGAGTATAAGATGGTTCTAGGGCCCAGTTTCTGATCTGAATATCAATGAAATAAATTGGATCAAACAGAAAGTGAGAAAAGTCTCAGCCCTCCCAGCTCCCCCTAGCTACCTTATATCTAGCTCTCCCTCGCTCCCTTAATACAGAGCTCCCTTTCTCTCTATTATATCTAGCTCCCTTATACCCAGCTCCCCATCCTTCCATTATACCCAGCTCTTTGAAACCCATCCCTGTATCCATTCTACCCAGCTCCCAAACCATCCCTCCCTTATATTCAGCTCCCCATAACTCACTCTCTTATACCCAGCTCCCTATCCCTCCCTTCTTTATACCTAGCTCCCTATCCCTCCCTTTTTTATTCCTCAATCAGCTCTCTATCCCTTCCTCCCTTATACCCAGAATTTACTAATAATGTAATCTGATATGAATCTGTATTTATAAAAGTATATATAACACCCAAACTCAGATTAACCTTGGTAATATTAGAATATTTTCACAATGCGCTGGAAATTTATTTTTTTTATTTTCTTTTCAATAAAATAATTAAAGATCTTTATCAGACAAGTTTTCCCCTGATGCTTGTCAATATGTCAATTTTAACGTTTGTAAACGGGGGAAGAGGTTAGAGGGGGTTTGACACAAAGATCAAGAGGGAAAATTAAATTAATTTTAACAATTAAACGTCTAAAAGTCAAAGGAATGTTTTAGTAACAGGAAGAAAAAAGTCTTTTTACAGGAAATATAAAGAACGGAGAAAAGTTACAACTTTTTCAAGTCATAATAAAAAGAAAAAGAAAAAGAGGGACGAGGCTTGGGGGGGGGGTCTCGGCACCTATAATATACTAAAATTTAACCAAATAATGTTTTACAAAATTTTGTATAAAGAAGAAAATACGCCAGAATTTCTGACGGAATGTGATTTCATGGATTAAAGAAAATAAGTGCACATAAAACTTTTTGCTTTTCTTAAATTCTAAATCTAACATTGAATTATACTCTACTCTATTAACCCTATCCCTGCTGGGGTACTTGAAAACCAGGATACGCTGGGGAGGGGTCAATTTGACCCCCCCCCTCTAAATCCCATGGGGTTTATGGAGACAAAACCAAAGATGATAAAAAGTTAAGGTTTTTTTTTAGCAATCAGCAATCTTTAATTACATTTATATAGATGATTATGTCTAGACCTATACCTTAAACCTGAATTTGAACCTCTGAGCTAGCTAAACCTGTAAAACCACATCCTCAGCCTTAAACATTATCCTAAACTTAAAACCAATCCCTGAACATTTGCTAGATTCAACCCTCCGAACCTGAACCTTATAATTGCTAAACCTTATCATAACCTATATTACTTGAACCTAAATAGATAAAACCTCTGAGGAAGAATTTAAAGAATTTGAGCCGCGGCTCAAATATGGTTTGTTCCACTTAAAATAGTATTCATTGCTTCAAAATTTAAGCCGGCTCTCAATTGAAACCGTTTTTGGCGGATTTAAGAAGCTGCTCAAATTCATTAAATTCGGACACTGGAGATAAACATTAACTGGAACCCAGCTTCACCTTAACCATTCTAACCTTTAATGCTAAAACTCAATCCCGGGAACTTTAGAATTAGTTTAACTGTCATGTAAAACCAACTCTAAACCTTTACATTTAATTCGTCCAAATAAAGCTATTTCAATCTAGAATGTTTATATGTAAATTCGTAAGCAACGTGCTACCCTATATTTGACGGTTAAAATCAGTTCAGTTTAGTTTAGGTTAGTTTAGAACTGAAAGTCTAGTAATTGGATTAAAAAACATAAGGTTGTGGATTGACGACCGAATAATCTTTTGAATATTGAATCTGAGAATTAAACTAAATGGATAATCCCTCTTTCCTCGTCCCTCTTTCATCCTCCCTCCTCCCTCCCTCTTCTTTGCTCCCTAAACCCTACTACCTACTCCCTACTTGTTATTCCGCAGATCATATTCCCTCCTCCCTACTCCCTTTTCCCTTCTTTTTCCTTTCTTCTCCCCATATCTGTTACACCTTCTTAACTCTCTCCTCCCTACTCCCTCCTCCGTTCTTCCTCCCCCTTCCTTTCTCCCCCCCCCCCCTAATCCCCTGCCTATCCTAAGAAGTTGTCATATGATAGTTGGAATCCTCTAATATCTTAAACAAACTTGACAGAACAAACTTTTAAATGGTTTCTATCCAAACATTCGGCTCAATTCTTCGTATTCACATTTATCTGTATCTGTATCCAAATCTGTATTTGAAAAAAGGAAAAAAAAAGACAAGACAAATATACAGGGAATGGTTTACTCACAAAAAAAACAGGCTTTAATAAAGATCTAAAACTCTTCAAATAACAAAACCTGAAAAAAATTTTGTATTTTAATTGCTTTTTTTTAATTGAAGGAAGAAAACAAGTTTATGGCTCGTTATAGCTAAATGGAACCTTAAACAGAACAAAATGACGTAATACATTCCGTTGAATCGTCTCTTTAGTCCCATATTTTCTAGTAAAAATACATTCCGTTCACTCGTCTCTTTAGTCCCATATTGTCTAGTAATAATACATTCCGTTGACTCGTCTCTTTAGTCCCATATTGTCTAGTAATAATACATTCCGTTCACTCGTCTCTTTAGTCCCATATTTTCTAGTAATAATACATTCCGTTGACTCGTCTCTTTAGTCCCATATTGTCCAGGAGGTTTTAAATGTCAATTTTAAAGTTGACATTTTTCATTTTTTTAATTGAGCACTTTTATAGAAATGAAAAAAATTACGTAAAACTTTTCAATTTCAACCGTCCATAAGCCTTCTTTTGGGTCATGTGAGTTGCCACAACAAAGGAACTGAGTTGTTTTTGTGTTTAAATCTTTATATCTTTGTAACCTGATGTATTTCAAACTACGGATTCTGTTTGATCAAATAGTCTAAGTTTAAAATATCAAAGGTTTACTTCAGTCAAGTCGAAAAGATATTGGGATTTGAACATTTAAGTTTGGGACCAGAACTCAGGTCCTTTGGGACTGATTTGTACATACAGCCGTTTTGAAGTTTATCGAATAAAGACAGACAGACAAGCACAGTAATTCAACCATAAATTTAAATTGAACATTTCTTCTAAATCTGCAAAATATCTAGCTGTGATAAATACTTAAATCGTTCATACTGTGACGATTGCATCCAGCATGAAACCCTTTGTTTATAATAAAATGTAATAACAATATTTTTTCATATATATAAATAAATCAGGATATCTATTCATATTCGTAGTATTGCTTAAACACCAAATCTCGCTTAACAGTGTGAAAAGTTTCTCAAGTTGCGAAAAAGGTTCAAACAGATAATGTGCAAAAAATGTCGGTGCGAACTGCAAATAGTACGCTTTGCGTTGTAAAATTCAAACGATTGCGCTTAAAAGCGCGAATAAGAGGTTTTCCCCATCTCTTCCAACCCACTGGGCTCGACACAATACGATTACTCAATATTACCCAGTTGGGAGAGTTGGGATCAAAACATTGAAAAATATTAAACTTTTATTTGTAATATTAAATTCAAGGGAGGGGCGGGATGGAAGTTGNTAGGACTTTAAATCGGGGGGCAATAAAATGATTTCACATTGTGATCATTAATCTATAATTTGACCCCAAAAAATATACAAAAACAACCCCCTAATGAAACTAACACGTTTTTTTCAAACCCATATCTTTAACCTAAAAAATGTAAGCTCAAACCTATCAATGCTTTTAAATATTTGCCCAAAGGAATGAGTCTTTTCCACAACCTAACTGTTATATCTGTTCAATCCAATGTCGTAGACCTTAGAAATTTCAAAATATGAATTCTGTTAGATCTAAGGTTTACACGATAAAGTTGCAAATATAAATAAATTAGAAATTTTGAGTTTGTAAAAATAGAATCCGTAAATGCTGAGTAGTAGTACATTTGAATTTCCGAGCCGGGTCAACATTTACGGTCCTAGTTTGTACTGCCTTGACATAGGGTAAATAAAGCAGACACTCAATAGGACTAGCCGGTGCAACATGGTTGACGCGGTCAGACTTTAGGTTGAATTTACTTTTAATAAAGGGTCAGAGGTGCGTGAAATGCTTAAGATTAGTAGTAGTTTTAAAGACTGACAATTATACTTTGAATGGCCTAAATTTCATCGTTTTTATGAAGTATTTTCTAAAAGGTTTTCCTTAGATAAAGGTTTCCTTGTAAAATAAAAATGGCAATCTTTGATCTAAATATAACGTAAGAAGCGCTAATATAGTTCCTTTGAATATAAAAAAATACCTATAATTAAATAATACTCTGAATAATTAACATATTTAATCAATCAATCAATTAAACTATCTGTCTGAAAATATGTCTTATCTTCATATAATTCCCCCGAAAACAAATATAAAAGAAGTCTTAAGTAAATATTATTTATTTTTTCTACGAATAAACCATCTAATAAGTATATTAGTACATATTCTAGAATAAACCATCTAATAAGTATATTAGTTCATATTCTATCCTCTAAAATATACCCCCCCCCCCCCCTTAGGCTAATAGTGTATAAAAAGTATGCCTTAAAAAGTACTCCATTGCGCATGTCTGTCTATTCTTGGATTCTTTATCAATTTTAATCATACGAAACAAAATATTTTGCCGAACTTTTTAAAATATTATAATATGTAATATTATATTATTATATCATGTAATTTATTACTTATTAAATTCTAAAATTTACTATCTCTATG